ATTAAATCCACGCCTTGATACAGGTACTCCTTACATATTATGGGACTCACATTACCCACCAGCAGGTTAAATTGCAAGTGTTGTGTCGTAGCAGTCAGTGATCTACTATAGAACTACACTTTTATTGGTAATGCAGCTAGTTGTTCATGGTTTAGTAAGCTAGAGACGTCCTGGCATTATTGAAGGGAGCCCTTTTAAAAGAGGTAAAACAAGTTATACATGGATCAGCCAAGATTTGTGATGGGCTGCTTCTGCCATTTCTGAACTGGGTTTAATGTGAAAATTAGTCGTATTTCCTCTCCCTTCCTTAGACAGCTGCCTCGTTGAGTAAGACAGATGAAAGCCATTAAAATAATTGCAACTAACTGCTGCACTGTGCTTACTGTCTTCAAAGAATCTTTTTATTTACTTTTCTCTGGTGATCTTCACAAGTTAGTGAGCTAGATAAGGGTTATTAGTAGCCACATTTTACAGCTGAAGAGACTGGACCAAAGAAAGGCTAAGTGGCTTCTCAAGGTCACAGCAGCTGGAAGCAGAACAGGGTAGCTCCCCGGGATCCCTGGCTGGGCTGCTTTTGCTCAGTCACCCACTGCTACCTTTCTCACAGCTGCCCACCATGGTCTTGTGCTTTGTAGTTTACAAAGTTCTTCCAGATGCGTTTACCAGATTTGGTCTTCTCTATAACACTCAGGAAGTACACAGAGGAAGTGATATCATCTCATTATGTGCATTATCCAACTACTTTTTTTTCCCCTCCATTTTCATCAGGCAAAAGCTAAAGAAGAAAAACTAGAGAAGTGTGGTGAGGATGATGAAACAATCCCATCTGAGTACAGATTAAAACCAGCCACGGTAAATTTTTAGCCACAGTGCATGACAACAGCATCTTGCCTTTGCATCTTGTTTTATTGCATCTGTACCCTTGACACTGTCAAAGGACATACCTGTCCCCCATTCAGATATTAACTCTGAAAACCCTGAACCTTTTTTTCTCTGCTCCCTACAGTTAGACCCCTTGAGGGATGGTTTGTCCCTGCCTGGCTTCCTAAGTAGTGACCCTGTGGTCATTAAAATTCCCACAAATTTAAATGTTTTATTTATTAACAATTCTTACAAAAGATCCTTAAACTCAGAAGGAACAATCTGGGGATAGTTTTTTTTTCTTAATGCTATATGGATAAAAGCACCATAGGTCTTCTGAGGGGTAGATATGAATGTACGAGGCTTTACCAATATGCTAAGTTAAGGTGGTTTTGTTGCTATTGTTTTTGATTATGGTGAGGATGGTAGACTAACTCCTGTCATTACATTTTTGTCATTTACTTTTGAAATCATGCATATAAACACATGTTGGAAAATGGTTACAATTCTAAATTATGAAACCTCGTATCCAAAAAAACTAAATAGTGTTATAGGAATGATATCCACCTCTTCACTCTAGGTTGGAGAACTGGGATTTTTTAAAAGCTTTCATAAACATACATCTTTATTGCCAAAGAATTTTTTTTCCTATTACTCTATCCAACAGATGAAAAACATTTTTTAATAACTTAAAGTAAATGTGCGTTCTATTTGGTAACATCTTGATTTTTACAGCTCAGCTGCTTTTTAAATACTTTATAAAAAGTAAATTTGAAACACAAACTCATGTGAATCTAAGAAAAAAAATTAGTTGACATCTCTTATCCTGGAATTCCCAGAAACAAACTTGATGGGACATGAAAGCAAAATTTTCTATTTCATTTCCAATGAGTTTTAATTTTATTTACAGGATAAAGATGGAAAACCACTATTGCCAGAGCCTGAAGAAAAACCCAAGGTTAGGAAATACATTTTTTTCTGATACTTAAAGAACAATAGACATGTAAAGTATGAATTAAGATAATTTTGACAGTCCGGAGTTCACTGTGCAGACTTGCATGCTAACCGAGTGCAGAGGAGATGGTAACACTTGGCTGATACCTGTGGCTCCTTTCCTTATATTTTAAAGATGATCTTATTTTATTGTATTTTTTCATTATATACTTTCTTTTTTTTAATAAAATAAAATAAATTTGCTAAAAAAAGATGATCTTCCTCAAAAATCATTACTGGACTATAAATTTCTAGTAAAATTTATTACACACTAGAAACTGATGTCAAGAGGGCCCTTAAGTCAGATTAAGCTAGCACTTTTTTTTGATGCCTACTGTATACAAACCACAGTGCAGGCATTTCAAGAATATAAAGATCAAAAAGGAAAAGAAAAGCTCTGGCTGTGTGTGTAACTCTCACTGTCCATCCTGATCAAATTCTCTGATGATTCTGTTTTGCCTTAAGTTGGTAGTAACCTGTCACATATAATCAGCAACATTTATTAATCACTTGCTATGTACCTGGCACTGCACCAAATGCTTTTTGGATATTATCTTTGTGAGTCCTCAGTGAATGAGGACGGTACTGTTGTTATTCCCATTTTACAGTGAGGAAATTGAGACACAGAGGGCCTATGTAAATAGCCCAAGGTCAAGGTGCTAGAAAATAGCAAGCCAAGCCCAGGACTTAGAATTCAGGCTGTCCAGTCTGAGTCCCAGCGTCTGAGTCACATGCCCTTCTATCATGTTACTGTTGTTAGTGACAGTCTCCACATGCCCTAAACTAATACCACTCCCCTGAAAGAACAAGGGGTAGCAGAACTTTCCTGCCAAAATCCCACATAATCATATGAACAGAGTATATGATCCATGTTTTCACTTATTCAGAAGAGAAGTCATGAGGAAATAGGAAAATAATCACATTTTAAAAAATTATACAGATCTTCATTGTAGAGAACAGGCAATTTTATTTGAACAAAATTCTTCTGAAACTAAAATATCAAGGAAACATTTGACCAAATAAACCATTAATATTTTTGCGGTACTGAAGTGTTTTGTAAGTATTTCTTATTTGTTTCATGAAAATTTTATCTTAACGTTGATAAATGAAAAAATACGCCCTTTATAAATTAGCTTTGGGTGTTAAGTATGGCCTCATTGTGTTAATCAGGGAAAATAATTGTTCCATGAAAACTTTTTTTTGCAAAATAAAAAAGAGTCCCCTTGTAATATACAGAACTTCTTATATTACAGGCTCGGAGTGAATCAGAGCTCATTGATGAACTTTCAGAAGATTTTGACCCGTCTAAATATAAAGAAAAACCATCTAAGCCAACTGAAAAGACAGAAGTACGTTTCTAAACATATTAATCTCTAGTTTTGAGGTTTGTGATCTTAAAAAAAAAAAAAAGTGAGACAAACTGTTTTAGCATGAAGCAGTCTATTAGAAAGCCTAATATGCCATCGTTTTTCCATGTCATTTTTGTCTTCCTTTTTGGATGTGCTTTCTGCCCCAACCTAACCCTGATATTCTTGCAACTGAAGTCCTGCAATGACTCCTTCAGGAAAGCTCTGGAAGCCATGCCTTCCTTCTTGTCCCAGCTTCTGTAACTGACCTGGTTGAGCTGTCATCACCCCTCCCCTCTGGGTTGCAGTGGCCTTTCTGCAGTCTCCTTCATGTCCATTGGACTCATTCTTTCTCAAGTATGTCTGTCGTCATGTCTTTCCCATCCCTACAAAAAAAAGTGCCCATTGCCATATTCTTGACCCTGTTTTCTTTCCTACCAAACTGTGTCCCTGTGTCAATAAACTGAACAATAAGTATGTGTGCGTCCCTGGCTTTTCTCACTTGGCTTCTCTGTCTTGATTGACCTTTCTTTCTAATTCTAGATCAGCTAAAGTCTTACTCATCCTTTCAAGCCTCTGCTAAGATATGGCTTTCTTTATCTCCTGCTTTTCCCTCCCTAAACTGGATCCATCCAACCTTTATTAAGCAGAACACAACATGGCAGAGGATCTGTAGTTCTTTTTTTATATATCACTATTCAAGCCTTTGTTACAAAGAAGAGTTTAGCTGTTTTAGTCCCTCTTTAACGCTAACATTTATGCCAAGTTTAAATGGGTAGTAAGCTCCTTGAACGAAGAGATCATATCCTATTGATGACCATCTGCTGAGCACCTTGCCTATAGGATAGGCTTCCATAAATGTCTAGATTTAAAACAATTTGTTTAAAGGTTTGCTTCTGTTTTTTGTTTGTTTTGTTTTGTTTTTTTTCTTGAGACAGGGTCTCACTCTGTCTCCCAGCTGGGAGTGTAGTGGCACAGTCTTGGCTCACTCCAGCCTCAATCTCCAGGCCCAAGCAATTCTCCAACCTCAGCCTCCTGAGTAGCTGAGACTACAGGTGCATGTCACCATGCCTGGCTAATTTTTGTATTTTCTGCACAGCTGGGCTTTGGCCATGTTGCCCAGCCTGATTCAAACTCCTGGACTCAAGTGATCCACCCTCCTCGGCCTCCCAAAGGGAGGATTACAGGCATTACAGGCATGAGCCACCACACCCAGCCTTGAAACTTCATTCTTGTGATAAAATAAGATGGGACAGTGGTTCTCAAACCTTAGCATGCATCAGGATCATCTGGAGAGTTTTTTTAAGCACAGACTGCTAGACTCTACCCCCAAAGTTTCTGACTTAGTACATGGGGTGGGGGTCTAAGAATCTGCATTTCTAGGTGCTCTTATGGTGCTGAGGCTGTTCAGGGATTACACTTCGAGAACTTGTGGTTTATTATTACTACCTTCCATTCCTACATAGCGGTATATAAAGTGCTCTTAGATTTATATAAATACAGTATTTTACATAATGCTATGTTACATAATAGGCATATTTGTTATACATAATGACAACTAACTAATAGAAATAATAGCAATAATTGCTCAAATGTATTGAGCTTACTGTGTTCCCAGGTACTATGCATAGCACTTTGCCTGCATTGTCTCATATAGGCCCCTTACGAACCCTTCAGCTGTGGATACTTTCATTGTTCTCTTTTTACGTATGTGGAAACTCAGTTTCGCGAGTTTCAGTAACCTGCCTAAGGTGAGAAGTAAAACCAAGTTGGAAAAAATGGCAACTGAAGAGTCTTAGCATGCTTTGACTTATTTACTATTCAGCAATCCTTAGGTATTCAAGAGAATCATGTTCACACCATATAATATAGCAGAGTGTCTTGTTGGTCTACCATTGCTCAGTCTTATTAACCAAATGTTTCTAAAGTTGTTGAGAGTACTTGCATCTTTCCTCAGGAATCTAAGGCCGCTGCTCCAGCTCCCGTGGCGGAGGCTGTGTCTCGGACCTCCATGTGTAGTATACAGTCAGCACCACCTGAGCCAGCTACCTTGGTGAGTGACTCCCTGGGCATTTGAGCAGTGGCTTGAGAAGGTGCTCTTCCTCCTCCCATCGCTCTCTACCATCATTTTATCTATTCTGACAAATTAAAAATAAAATCTGATATAATTATAGTATCTGTTGTTTCTTTGGGCTTCAGAGATGTTGTAGAAATTCAGACTAAGATTTAAATTTTTAATTAAATTACTCCCAACTGTATTTTTCTCTACTCTTCTGAAATTCTAGTTCCTCAGCTATTGTGGATAATCCTGCTTTTTCACTTTTCTGCATCTTTTAAGCCTATTTGGATTTCCACCGAAAGCCCAAAGTTACTTTTTACTGACTTTCCTGGTAGAATAACATGCACTAAAATCATTATGATTCCTCCCCACTCTCCCAACTACAGAAGGTGAGACTGACTCAATTTCTTTCTCTTTCCTTCTTCTTTTCGTGCGTCTCTCTCACTTTCTAATTTTCATATGAAGTATAATATATAACAAGCTGAATCTTTGTTTTCTTTTGATTTTAGAGTTCCCCCCCCCCAATTAGTTAATGATAGAATTTGACTCAGGGAATAACATCTGAGGGAATTATATTTCATTACTGCAGAATTAGTACCTCTTCCCTCTGAACATCTAACTTTCATCATCTACTGTGCCATTGTTCTAAATGCTTTGCAGTGTCTTCCCATTAAATTTTCACAAGGACACTATGAAGTCTGTCCTGATCATCCTCCTATAATAGATGAGAGAAATGAGGCTTTGAGTTGACCTTGATCCACTTGATGTTTCAGAGCCTCAGCTGAAATGAAAGATATGGCCCCTGCTCTCAGCTGTCTTCAAGCCTAGTGTGGATATGAGACCTCCCCAATTTTGGGGGGTTTCCGGGTACTCTTCAGGTACTTTTTACAACATGGGTGCCCGGCCACAGTGGTAAAGAACAGGAGAGGAGGGGGGACTCTAGAAGGACTCTGGTAAAGAAAGCAGGCACAGAGGCCGTGATTGGAGTCAAAACAACAGTAGCCAGCATTCCCCAGGATAACTCTTGTAACCAAAACCTGCACCTGCACCACCTACCTCATCTGCCAAGTGTGACTGCCAGGGCCTTAGAGGGCTCAATTCCTTCTCAACTTTACCCTGACTGTAGAGCTGAGCATTGGATTGTTCGACAGCAAACAAAACAAAACAAAAAAAGCTCTTGTTTTCCCCTTCCTCATCCTCCTTTCCAGGGCCTCAACTCCACCAACTCTGGCCATGGTTGCCAAGGTTACTGTCACTGAGGCAGTTGGCATTTCTGGGATTGTGACACCCTCGAAAGCCAGAAAGAATAGCTGTAGAGTGTAATAAAGGTCAGAGGACTCAAGAAAGGCATGCAGATTAGAGAGCTGAAGGAAGACAGACCAGAGGAAGGAGATGAATGCGTTCCCTGGGTGGTTCTTGTGTGTATAAAAAGAAAATTTGTTAAGGAAACCCAGAGACCTGAGTTGTAGTTGTTGAATTTGATAATGTCAAATATTACAGAAATAGAAATTTTAGTCCTTACTCCTGTTTCCAGATTCCTTCGTTCTTAAGTCTGCTTCTTCTCCTAGGTTTTCTTTAACTGTTTCAGTAATTTATTAAGCAAGAGGTTGGCAAAGGGCACAGGTCTGGGGAAGCAGTGGTTTCCAAGGATTTTGTAGCATAGAGTATGAGAAAACAGAATTGTAGTGTGAGCAGGTGTCTTAAATCATGTAGCAACTCACATTGCTTGGATAAGACTTGGGTACCAGTGCAACTCTTGATGTCCTTGATTAGAGTATTGCAGCTGTTACTACTTAATGCTTAATTTAGGTATAATCCCAAACAGGTTCGAAGCCTCAGGGATTTTTTTTTTTTTTTTTTTTGTAGCTCTTGGGAATAAAACGCATACAGTGTTCAGCCACTAGGTGGTGCTAAATCACTTTCCTAGGCTCCCTCTCTTTGGTCCTCTTTCCTTTTGCAGCGCAGTTTATCAGAAAAAAAGCTTTACTTGGCCGGGCGCGGTGGCTCAAGCCTGTAATCCCAGCACTTTGGGAGGCCGAGACGGGCGGATCACGAGGTCGGGAGATCGAGACCATCCTGGCTAACACGGTGAAACCCCGTCTCTACTAAAAATACAAAAAAAACTAGCCGGGGGTGGTGGCGGGCGCCTGTAGTCCCAGCTACTCGGAGGCTGAGGCAGTAGAATGGCGTGAACCCGGGAGGCGGAGCTTGCAGTGAGCCGAGATCGCGCCACTGCACTCCAGCCTGGGCGACACAGCGAGACGCCGTCTCAAAAAAAAAAAAGTATTTATCCCTTCTGTGCATGATGCATTATAAATACACACACACACACACACACACATATACACACTGTTACACTTTTTTTTTTTTTTTTTTTTTGAGGCAGAGTCTCATTCTGCCATCCAGGTTGGACTGCAATGGCATGTTCTCGGCTCACTGCAGCCTCAGCCTCCTGGGGTCAAATCTATCCTCCCACCTCAGCCTCTTGAGGAGATGAGACTACAGACATGCACCGTCATGCCTGGCTAATTTTTAAAAACTTTTTGTAGAGGTGGGATCTCACTGTGTTGCCCTGAATGGTCTCAAACTCCTGGGCTCAAGCAATCTTCCCTCCTTGGCCTCCCAAAATGCTGTGATTGATTACAGGTGTGAGCCACTGTGCCTGGTCCTGTTCTCTTCATTAAAAAAGAAAAGTCCTGGTCATGAATCATTAAGTTGATTTTTATGAGCCACTAATGTACAGATCATTCGCTTTATTTTCCCTTTACACTATTTATCCTCTGTGTTCATCCAATGTCATTTTAAATACCAGCATGGCCAGAGTTCATTACATTTTGAGGGAGCACATTTCATTTTGAACAATCGGACCAAAAGTAGACAGTTCTCACTGTGCCATGCAGGTTAGTTGGTCACAGGCAGAGTCACCAGAACCAGCCCTGAATCCCCTTTGGTCAGTAGAAGCCCCTTGGAGAAAACAGGCATCCGAGCCTCCCCTTCTGAGACGAGCCAGGCTGTCCCACAGGAAATGGAGAGGAATGGCCTCTTGTGGGCTCTGAAAGTCTTTCCTGTGCCATCTATGGAATGATCTCCATAAAGACCACGTCTTTCTTCTTTCCTGGTATTCAGCTTCTCTGTGGTACACCTCAATCCATGGTCTTTCTTATTTCTAAACCAACTGTGGGTCTGGTCTTGTAAGTTTCACAGTATCAACATATAATTTGTACACAATGTTTAATATAACAAATTTGCTCAAATGTTAAACATTTTGTTTTTTAAACATGGATTCTAATTCAGTTGATAAGTTATTAAAAGATAACGTGCCTTTTGTCTGAAATAATGATATGCCTTTCTGAATTGTTTGATAGCATATGTTTTAAAGGGAGTGATTAACCACCTACTTAATATATCCACTAATGCACTTCAGAAGGGCACGGTGCCAGACGATGCTGTAGAAGCCTTGGCTGATAGCCTGGGGAAAAAGGAAGCAGATCCAGAAGATGGAAAACCTGTGATGGATAAAGTCAAGGTAATGGCAACTGAGATGCTTCTGGAAAATAACTATCATTGATCACTTCCTCCCCCTGCAAATAAGTTAGTCATTTGTTTTGTTTTTTATATTTCCCGTAAAACATGACCAGCTGGCTTTTTCTATTATTGCACATATCCTGTTTAATAAGCTAAACCTGAATAAGCCACATTGTTGAACCCCCACCATGGATGGACGACATGCACAGACCAGAGGCCTGAGTCTCATCTTTGCCCACCTGCATTGACATTGCTGGGACTTGGGAAGGAAGCAGCAGATGCCTGCTGCTCCTCACAGCTGCCTTGCAGCCCAGCAGGCTTTCTGCTGGTGCCTGAACCTGCCAGATTAAGTTGCTGTAGGAACACTAAGCATATGGCCATATGTACTTCCTAACCTAATGACAAATTTGTTTACCTCAAATCTAGTCACTCAGCATTAATTTTATGGGGAGAAAAAACATACTAACAATGAAAATGGTATAATTTTTATTCAGGAGAAGGCCAAAGAAGAAGACCGTGAAAAACTTGGTGAAAAAGAAGAAACAATTCCCCCTGACTATAGATTAGAAGAAGTCAAGGTAAACAGGCTGGAGTCTTTTTCTATTTTATTTTAATTCATACTGAATTCATACACGGAACACAGAGACTTGGGAACAGACCTGGAATATAAAGATGTTATTTCTTTGTATTTCAAACACCAAATAGTATTAGTCTACTCCTAATAGTGTTAGAACACCAGATACAAAGCTAAAATATTCCTAATGAGACTTGATCCTCAAGTGAAAGAAATCTAATGTCTAGGTTGCCTAATGTTTTCCTTTCTAACCCACAGCTTGTTATAATACCAGAAATATTAAAAAACCTTATGTAGATAGGAGAACTAAAATGAGGAATAGGCCGGGCATGGTGGCTCATGCCTATAATCCCAGCACTTTGGGAGGCCAAGGCAGGAGCCTCTCTTGAGCCCGGGAGTTCAAGACTAGCCTGGGCAACATAATGAGACCCAGTCTGTACAAAAAAATCAAAAAAATTAGTCAGACATCGTGGCAAGTGCCTGTAGTCCCAGGTACTTGGGAGGCTAAAGTGGGAGGATCACTTGAGCCCAGGAGGTAGAGGCTGCAGTGAGCCATAATCGTACCACTACACTCCAGCCAGGATGACAGAGCGAGACCCTGACTCAAAAGAAGAAATGAAAAAAACTAAAATAAGGAACTATTATCTTATATAAAAAAAAATTAGCAACTTTCAGATGTAAGTTGGAAAAATAAGAGAACCTATCTAATATTGAGTATAGTGTTAAGTTGCCCCATTTCCTCTATTTTGAAAGTACAGATTATAGAGAACAAAGGAGGAGACCCCATTATGAGTCTTGTGGTTTAAGTGCAGTCACTTAAATGAGGCAGATTCACGGACAGTTTAAGAAATGTCAGTCATCTTCATAGCAGGCCAAGATTTAAAAGAGTATTCAACTAAACTTCATTAACAATTCTAGAATATCAAATTCTTGCTTCTCACTCATCCTTGTGCACTAGCCCATTTATTTAGCAGACACAGGAACTAGACTGAGCTCTCCATGATTGAAAGTTTATTATTCTGGATACCTTTATATTTGCTTCTTGTGTTTTACAATTCAGTTGCAGCCACAGTGTTTCTGTTAATTTGGGCTCATTTGTACGTTGCTTTGCAAAGTTCCTAGAGAGCGTGCTAAGGGCCACACGTTCTGTCTCCACTGAGTGCCCATTCAGTAGCGGCTGGTCAAGTGCAGGTAAACTCTCTTCATGATAGGTGATTGGTTGGTGATTTGCTGTCTCCCCTTACTGAATTTAGTAGTAGTGTTTAAGGAAGCAGTTGATTCACTGTCCCTGATCACTTTATTCTGTAGTCATTTCATCTTCTTCTGACTTACCTCACACAGTAGTAATTACCTATTAATATTTTCAGGCAATAGCTTCATCTCATTTAAATCCTATGTTGGTATTCACCAGCTATGCTCCCATCAGGTCTCTTCAGTGAGATTCAGCTCCCCAAGGGCAGGACACAACCTCCCCTTCCAGACACAGAATGATGCAGTGATGGAAAATCGATTTAAGTTTGAGTAGGGAGCAAAAGTGCCCCCAGAGTCCCAGGCATCACTTAGGAAATTTTCTGCCTTTACAGCTAAGAGATGGTGGAGAACAAGCACAGGTTCAGCTTTCCCCTGTACCTGAAGAATGGTCAGAAGGCGCAAGTCAGTCATGAGGGAAGCAGGTGATACAAGTTGAATATCCCTCATCTGACATGCCTGGGGACAGTACTGTTTCAGATTTCAGACATTTCTGGATTTTTGAATATTTGCCTTATATCTGTTGAGGAGCCCTAATCTGAAAATCCAAAATGCCCCCGTGAGCATTTCCTTTGAGTTGTCAGGTCAGCACTCCAAAAGTTTCAAATTTTGGAGCATTTAAATTGTTACTCAGCTTGTACCTCTAAACCATTGCACTTCACATTTTCAATGAAACAAAAACCAACCTTAACCAGTTTCTCAGGTGAAATATATATGTATATCTTTGTATTTACTTATTTTTGTGTAGGTGGATAAATGGAATTTCCTATTAGTATATAGATCTTCTTTTACTAAAGAGCCCACATGCTTTCTTCATTTTGTCCTATTATTCAAGTGTGGCACCTGGAGTCGTTTACAGCTTGACATAATCTGAACCATAAGTTGCAGAGCGTTTCACCGACAGGTTAAACTCCCTGAGGGCAAGACCTTTGTCTTTGCGATTTTCTGTTGTATTGCCAATGCTTAGGTCAGGCCTTGGCATGTAGTCCTTGCCGATGAGTTAGATGTGTGGCTTACAAGGTTAACCAGCCCACCCCCATGTAGGTAAAGGACTTGTCCCGCACTGTCCTGCAAACCCCAATCACAGCACCACATACCACACTATGCTGACTTGCACCTTTTCCTCCTGTGATAGTCTCTGGGCTTCTGAGGTCACAAGCCATACCTCGTCCACTGTGCAGCCCCCGTGACTCGGGAATGCCTGGTGCTTGTGAGCTGTTTGTTGACATGAACTAATTAGAGCTTAGTCTCTGGTGAGAGAATCTATTTCCTGACATGATGGATCTAATTTAAAATGTACAACAGCAAGTATAGCCTGTAGGCAGGCCTTTTGTAATTTTTGCAAGGTTTCATAACTTGGATAAAATGTAAAATGATTTCATGCCATGTTTTTTCCCCCCGGATAGGATAAAGATGGAAAGCCACTCCTGCCGAAAGAGTCTAAGGAACAGCTTCCAGTAAGCAAACCAGTTTTCTCTAAGGATATCTTTTCCTTTTGGCCCTGATTGCAATGGTGTTTGTTGATACATTTCCTGGTCCTTGCAGCCCATGAGTGAAGACTTCCTTCTGGATGCTTTGTCTGAGGACTTCTCTGGTCCACAAAATGCTTCATCTCTTGTAAGTCCAAAAGTCTTGGTTTTATTTCTTTAGTTTTTTTTTTTTCTTTGAGACAGAGTTTTGCTCTGTCATCCAGGCTGGAGTGTGCAGTGGCGCAATCTCCGGTCACTGCAACCTCCACCTCCCAGGTTCAAGCGATTGTCCTGCCTCAGCCTCCTGAGTAGCTAGGACTACAGGCGTGCGCCACCATGCCCAGCTAATTTTTCTGTTTTTAGTAGAGATGGAGTTTCACCATGTTGGCCAGGCTGGTCTCGATCTCCTAACCTCATGATCCACCCACCTTGGCCCCCCAAAGTGCTTGGATTACAGGCATGAGCCACTGCGCCTGGCCTATTTCTTTAGTTTTAGAGTGGCAGAAATAAATGGAAACTGGTGACTTAGAATCTGACTGGGGGACTGAGGAACAATCATAAAATTAGTGGCCCTCAACCCACTGTAGCCATTCAAAATGTGTTGCACCATGAAATATTGTCCCAACACAGTGGATGCTTTTAGTAGTGTAACTAATATCAAGTACCAGTACCCCTATGAAAAGAGAATTTAAATGTAAGTTTATCCAAAATTACTCCTCAGACAACTTTACCAATTGATATTTCTACAATTTACCATTTCCCAAATTGCCTCCTAAGGGAACTTGGCTCTGTGTGGAATATAGAGTCCCTTAAAGGGAACTCTGTTACTCGAAAAGTTTGGACAATATTGGGTAATGTTAAGCAGGTTTCTCTACTGTAGGATTTTCCTGGCTTTTTATCTGCAAATATATAGTGAGTCTGTTAGAGTTCCCAAAATTAATAACTGCAGAACCTTTTCTTATGGAGTCTAGTTTACCTATTTATTGGGAACTCAGTTTTTAAACCACTGAATGTATTATTAGCAGTCAGTTAGAAAAGGGATTATAACAGTTTCTATGACAGTGGCATGGAAAATATATTTATATCAGTTGGAGAATAGACAGAATGACAACTAGAAGAAATAATGATTCTTTGGAATTGCCTGAAGTTGTTGCTTTTGCTGAATGAAGCAATAAAGCCCCTCAAAGAAGAGCTTGCTAACCAGAGCTTGTTCTTCTCCGTACCCCTGTAAAAGCATCATGCTGCTCAGTCACCTCATCCTGTGACCTTCCTCTCATCCTCTTCCATACAGACCACATCACAGCAAAGCACTCCAGCCTTGATTTAGAAACTGTAAGACATGGTGAAGAATACAATGTGAGGAGTACCCCAGGAATGTGGAGTCATAGCATTACACTGATGCAGAACAGATGAACAAATAGTGGGGAACAAGATCTCAATTCCCTTCCTCCTCCTATCTATTATTATTATTATTATTACAATAGTTAGGGGTGTTTTTTCTTTTAGAAATTCAAAGATTTGGAAAAAGTAACAATGAATTTATATGCCCCCCTCAAAGATATATGGCAGTGAAATGGTGAGATGAAACAACCATGAAAAAAAAAAAAATCTTAGAAAATTAGCAAAGGAAACATTAGTGTCAACAATATAGTTAATAAAGTGGAAATAACTAATCATCATGAGAACCAAATAATCAAAATAGAAAGTTATTTAAGGGAAAGTTTCAAGAACTTTGGGGGAAAAGTATCACATATGGCTCATAATTAATGTTCATCTATAAAAAAGTAGCTCCATGCTCTTTGAGAATAATAAAACAGAACAGAAATGCTATGTAAAAAGAAACACTTAAAACTATTCCCCTAATAATACTGAGATCACATTGATAATAGACTATTTTAAAACATCAAAGATATTACAAGTAAAAATCTTTGAGAAGCAGTCAAAGCAGTTTTCCTGTGACACATTGTCATAAAATACCTTCATCAATAATAGAGATAGAGAAAAAGAGAAACCTGATAAACCAAATGCTTATTGAATTTTCAACTGAAATTTCTAAAAGTTTTAATAAGCTAACCACCCAAAACAAAGTAGCAATAAGCATACCAGAAATGAAACTAGCAGCATGAAAGTTAACTGGCCAATAGTTGTTTCTTTTGAAATAACAAATACTTTATAAAATACTAGCAAATGCAAAAGGAAAAAAAACCTTATGAAAAATACAGTTAAATTTTAACAGAGTAATATAATAATGTATGAGATCAACTAAATTATTGCTAGTTTAATGCCAATAGTCAGTTGGTTTTTATGAATTTTTAAGATTTTACAAAACACTGGTAAATATAATAGAGAAAATAATCTTACTAATAAAATGTAACATAAATGTGAGAAAATACAATAATCAGTACAAGAGTACAACTAAATTATTAGGAAACACTATGTACAACAATTTTCTAAGATTAAACAAAAATATAAAACTGCATAATTCACAAAACCTAAAAAAAAAAGACTGAAGAAAATATTGCATTGGTTTTCAAACTCTCCTTCTACTGAAGGTTTAAAGATGACTCCTGCAGCTGTTGAACACTCAGTTCTTATGTGGATAAATATGTCATGAAAAAGATGGGGTCACCTAATTGCTTCTATGAGTAATTATGGTGCTAATCTTAAAATGTGACGAATATAACTGTATCAGCTAAAGTTACTTAAACATGTAGATGTAAAAATTACATACAACATACATAGAATATAACAAACAGTTAAGAAATTATTTGCCATTATAAGTATTGATTGATTATTGGAAAAACTGTCAATATATTGTAGTGGTATATCAAATAGAAACAATTATTTATGTCCATGTAAAAGATCTATTTAAAATTTTACATATACTCATATTATAAATAAAAACGTTTTAAAAAGTAGGCAATCCCCTAACGTGTTAAAGAGTCTTTAGTTTTCAGAATCAAATATTCAATATCATGGAGGCATTTTCCTTAAAAGCAGAAACTATGAAAAGTTTATTGTCATTTCTGCTTATTATCGCATGGAAGAATCATTAACAACACAAGAAAAAGAAATGACAAACATTAAAAGGGAACATTTGAATATATTTGTGGATAGCACTACTTGTAGATAATACATTTGTAAGTAACATTATGCCATGTTTATTAGTAACAACAGATGAGAAAATGTAATTAATATGAGATCAGACTTACGTAAACTACAAAAGGAGAAATGATCAGAAAAATAAGGACACAAAAAAATTGTAGGCCATACATTGTCAGTTTAACTAAATATCTTAAAAAGAATGATGACAATTCAAGTCATTTTTTATGTTAATTTTTTATTAAATAGCAATAAGATACTTTTTATAACTCAATAAAATTATTCAATGATATATTTGAAAAATAAATGTATAAAATTTGAAAAAAATACTGAAAAGCGTTTTTCAATACTTTTAGGTAAGATTAATCCAACTAAACACTAGCATATGTTATACAGTAATAATAAATAGAAAATACAATAATGTTGATCAAAGCATAATCATTGGAAAAATTGAGAAATGGACATATATGATTTAGTATTTTTAAAAAGAGTGAAAAATCATCTTATGCTTTTGTGTAGTGTTAGATGAACTAAATAACATGTACATATAGCTTTGCAAAACAAATTTCCAGACCATAGGTTGTTTCATACTTAGTATTAAAAGGCTTAAATAATAAGTCAATCAGATAGATTAAGAAGAGACAATACAAATGTTTCAATATGTCATTCTTTTCATTTGACAACTTGTTATTCTTTTCATTTGTCATATAAGCAAAGATTTCTCATAACTGAAAATGAATTTAGTACATTTTAGATTACCTAAAATATTACATTCTAAAACTGCTTTACAGGGTATAAATGGACAATAAGTATCTTATAGTTATCTAAATTAGTTGAAATGATCTCCAATAATAACATGCTGCAATAAATTTCTGAATGTTGGTATCGTTGTAATGTGCTTTTCTCCATCTTTCGGTAAAATTTACAATTCTCTTTTTTCAAAATAAGCTATCCATAGTTGGAGTCACCAAAGAGTTCTGGACTTTTTTCTGGTTTTTCATCAACAGTTATACCTAAGGTTTCTGTCAAAAGGGAGTATTTGAAATGAAGCAAATATTCAATATTTTTTAAACAAAAATTATTTCAGAAAGTTGCTAGAATAATATTTAACATTGAAAAAAAAACCCTGAAACCTGACACCATATACCACAATATACAAGCAATAGTAGTATATCATTTTACACTGATTATCAGAAATAAAAATACGTCATAAAAGTCAAATTCTGGCAAGCAAGGCCATAGGAAAGCAGGCATGCGTATTCATCGCTTTTCGCAGTATGAATTCCTAGCAACATCTGAGAGGGCAGTTTGGCAAAATATAGCCAGCACCATAACTTACTCACTAGAACTTACTCAGAGCAATTTTAAAAGAGCTAAAAACTTTGAATAACCTAAATGTACAACAGGAGATGTGTAAACAAACCATGGAACTCTAAGTTATTATATTATTGCATAGTATTTAGAATAATCAATATGAGAAGGAAATAGAAATAGGAAATTGTATAAAATAATACAATAGAGAAGAGTTTAAATTTCTTCTAAAATTATATGTTATGAGTCTATTTGTATCAAGAGAATAAACAGTCATTAAGCTATCTTTAAGAGTTATAGTTAAGTGATGGCATTGTGGTCATAATTTTATATACAACATGTCACTCATAAAATTTTTTTCCATAAAAGAAATTTGAAGATGCTAAACTTGCTGCTGCCATCTCTGAAGTGGTTTCCCAAACCCCAGCTTCAACCACCCACACTGGAGCCCCACCCCGTGATACTTCGGTAAGCAGCACATCTTGTTTGGGAGATAAATATTTCTTTTTGTGCAGCCACAACTAGAAAGAAAATAGGGCACCTGTTTAAAGCAAATGAAAATAGGCAGAATTATTAGGAAGATCAGGCACCTTCTAGTTCAGAAGAGCCGAGACTGATGATTTAGGGAGATGGCAGAGATTAACTTTGATATTATTAAATGAAACAATATATGTGAAAACATTGTACACATAGTCAAGGACCTTAATATCGTCGCTTTATAAGAATTGAAAGTACAATAAAGTGCATTGTGTCTATATTCGAATTACTAGATTTGAAAAGTTCTTTAGCTTTCCTGATAATTGATTTTCTCCTATTTTTTCTTATACATTCTATAATTTACTACCCATTATTTAACCTCAAGTGTATTTTATGGAATTGTTTTGTTTGAGCTTCTACAAACATTTTACCAACATTTTACAACATGTCATAGAATAGCATTGTTTTCTTCCCAATTCACACCAGTAAAAATTTGTCAGTTTCATACCAGCTGTAGAAGAACCTCAGCATCAATATTGTTTTAATTATTTACATGCTGTGAGGCAAGGCTGTGGGACCAAAGCTTTTCCAGACTTCCTTGACTAATCACCTGTGCAATACCAAATTATACATTACCGAGGAGACCACAGAACATCAAATTATAAAGGGATTGCCCTAAACCAGATCCCCATCTCCTTTGCTTGAGAACAGTGCCTCATTTGCTAGATGGAGATGAAGTAACTTTAGTGAAGTCAGCTATGCTTCCATTCCTTTTGATGTAGCATCAAAGCATATTTAGTGCTGCAGTCTGAGATTCTGATGGATTTTCATCCTGTTGGGTCAGCTTCAGGATCATCTGAAAATATCCAGAGGCACAAATGACAAAGCCCAGACCTGGCCCCAGGCAGCTCTACCATTAGCAGCTATAATCCTGGATTATAATAAAGCACTTAAAACCAGTAAAATGCCCCGTGTGTGTGTATGTGTGTGTGTGTGCATGTGTGTGTAAACACACCCACAATGAAAAAAGTCCCCATGCAACAGAAAGGAAGAACCATTAATAGCCTAGGCTGCCATTTACACTTCAGTTCTTAATATTCAGGCCAGAGATTCTGCCCTGATGGAGGCTATCAGTAAACATTTGCAATCAGAAACTTTTTTGCCTTTAAGAAGTAGGTTTTCCAGTGACACTTCTCTGATCACATTTCCCATCAGAGAGTCTTGTTTTTAGTTAACATTTTATTTGAAGATGTCACTAAAACAAGGTATAAAGCTTTATTTAGATAAAAAATTGGGAAATCAAAGAGTCAAGCCATGATGATTCACGGGAGCTTTCTTTGCTGAGATTATTAGATTGTTATTAGCAGTGTTAGATACACTGAAAGCATCTGAAGACATGCTTTCAAAGATCTGTGTAATAAAATCACTCCAACAGGAAAAACTGCTTCAAAGAAAATAGAAGATCATGGATGTGACTAAGCCATGACAGGGAAAACCTTTATCAGTCCCAAGACCTGGGTTCTATTCACTTTTTAACAATTTGTTTTCAAACAACTGACTTAGCTTCCCTGAGCTTTTTACCTCCAAAAAGCCTGCTTAGTTCACTGAGAACCATTGTGGGCATCAAATAAAACTGGATAGTGTATGTGAAAACACTTTGAAAATCAACTGGAAAGTTCTATACAGTATTGGACAGAGTTCAGCATGGTATCTTATACAATGTAGATATTAAACACATTTTAATTGAATTCATTTAGAGGTGGAATTTTGAATGCAATGTGTTGAAAAATATTTTGAAACAAAACTTAGGATTTTGCTATAATAATACTAATAATAATTTACCATTTGTTGGGTCCTAACATACAACTAGTACTGTTTTAAATACCTTTTCAATCATTTACTTTTCTCAGCAACTTAGGAGTATAGGTACTACTGTTATTCACATTTTATGGCCAAGGAAGCTGAGGCCGAAAGAGGTTAAATAAGCTGCCTGAATCATACAGTAAATAAATGTTAGAGGAATTAAGCTATCTTAGTTACAGTGACATTGTTGTTCCATAATTTTTTTCGTGTAGAATACCAGCTCCCATTTCTGCGATTTAGCTTCCATGAGCTTCCTAAAGATGAAAAGAGAGGTATCCCCACCAGTTCAGAAATTCTCTGAAGTCTTTCAGGCCACTCATACCAGTGTGGCAGAGAAGCCCCTTCCACTCTCCTGACCCCAGATTGTCTCTGGGGTTTTGTGTCCTAGGAGGTATTAGGATGGCAGTGCCGAGCTCCATGGCTTCCCACAAACTGCGGGTCATGCTGCACTTTATGAAATGCACCCCTCAAGATCTTAGAGTCTTAGAGAGGACCCACGGAACCAAAGAAACGCTCACCCTCTATAGTTGCAGAATCCTGCTTCCTAACCATCTGACAACATTAGTGGATATTTGTTTTCATATCGTTTTCTAATGGTGTTTAATTTCTAAATGAAAGACACACATGGTTGGTTCATTTGCTTTTGGACCCTTTATGTGACCTCCAGGTCACCCACTGGATATGGATCCTGAGGCTTCCACTAAGACCTTCTTAACCTGGGGATCTTCACCAAGACATGGGCGGGGTGGGTGGAAGGCGCTGGCCCTCCAACCCCAGAGGTTGACAGATGCTGCCGCTCTTCTCCTGATCTTCCATTCCTAGCCTTCTCTTCTCTGACCCTGTCTACTCCCCTGCCCCAGCCCCAGCCCCAGCCCCAGATGTCTTTTTCTTCCAAGGAAACAGGTTCCCTCCTGAAAAGATGGAGTTCCTGGGCTAATTTGCCTCTGATACAGTTTGGCTAATGAGTGACTAATTCGGCATTATTTACTTTTTTAGCAGAGTGACAAAGACCTCGATGATGCCTTGGATAAACTCTCCGATAGTCTAGGACAAAGGCAGCCTGACCCAGATGAGAACAAACCAATGGAGGATAAAGTAAAGGTAAAAAAAAAAAAAAATTCACTAATAAGTGAAATTTTAATCCTTGGTTCTTGACTCTGTCATTGTCGTAGGAATATTGATGTGAATTTAACCTATATTTTAAACATGAAATTATAAGGAAGTAGAAAAATCAATCTGTACTCCACTGGAGGGGAAGGTCACTGAATCTGTGACAAAGATACCAGCGGAGCCTCCCTGAGGAGATTCTGGGAGGTAGGTGTGGCGTATGCATGGCTTCCTCCCATGCAACACAAGCAGTCAGCACATCCATTCAAATTAGCTGTCGTCCTTCAAAGTCGCTTATAAATAGGCAAAGTTGTAAATATGACCTCTCTAAATGGCAGGGTATAGTGGCCTGATTTTTTTTATTAGAAAAGTGAAACCATACAGAAAAAAAGAAAAAGATATTTTATACCTTTGGGTTCTAATCTCCTAACATGGTTTCTGAGGATAATTATTTAATCATTTATTTCCATTTAAAATATAGCTAGAAAATTCACAGATATGAATTGACATACAGAAGCATATGGGATTATATATTTTAGCCAACTAGCAGTCTGTTGAAGTCATCTGTGTTGTTCTGTTGCTTAAATAATAAAAACAGACCATATGTTTTGCCTCATAAAAGTACAACAAATGCTGAATGCTACATTTGACAATGTATTTTCTAAGTGAAAGAGGAAATGAATATTAATTCTATCTGCTCACTGTTTATATAGGAAAAAGCAAAAGCTGAACATAGAGACAAGCTTGGAGAAAGAGATGACACTATCCCACCTGAATACAGACATCTCCTGGATGATAAGGGACAGGTAAACTGAGGCAAATTGCTAGATCGGATTTATGCTACAAAGATCTTTAAATTCAAGCCTCCTTGAAATAAATAGTAGCTGTACTCTTTTACAATAGCATAAAGACATATCATGACTGACTGCTTTTAATGTGTCACCAAAGCTGACCAGCAGGTAAATATTTATTTGAGCCAATATCATTGTATATGCATATGCTAGGCTCTGTGGTATAAACAGGGTTGAATACTGTTCAGTCAGTCACTGATGCTTAAGAGTAATCCAAGAAATGTGATTCTCTCTTTCAAGAAAAGGCTATAAAAATCACTAAGGTGATAGGATTTCAAAGGAAGCAATCTCTGTTTAAGGACAGTAGAAAAGGAGCTGGTGTTGGGATAATTAATAGGGCAAATTAATAAGGCAGCTCCAAGACCTGGGGTCTCCCTATCTTCTTCTACATCACCATCAGCACTATTGCAAGTGAAGACAGGCAAAGCAATATTCCCAATCACAAATCCTGTTTCTCTGCCAAAAAGTCCCTGACCTTTTGTCTCCCACATGATAGAAACCAGTCTTTTGTAGGTCAACCAGGCCTGTCCCCCACCTCTTTCCTATTTGGTTTCTAACTTTTGAGTCCATTAGATGATAAATAACCCTTTCCATGCCTGTTCATCAAACAGAAAACAAGGAAGTCCAAATTACACCCTTCTCTTTCTGTACTGATTCATTTTGGTGAGATGATTCCTGGTTTAAATAGCACTGTCAGCTTCAGGGTCTCCTATTACAGGAACCAATTCTCCTTGCTTGCATTCAGTATTCCACAAGATAGCAATGCCACATCCTGCGAGAGCCCTTCCCACTTTGATAGTACCAACTCACCCTGCTTCCATTCTTTGGGAAATTTCTTATTTAAGGTCCTTGCCTTTGAAACTGGGAAAAATCCCTGATGAGTTTCTAAGTGTAATAAACTATAGTAAATAAGATATAAAAACACAAGTAACTTTTTATAACACTTTAAGTAGAATTATAAGTGACAATACATGATGGCAGAAGGTTCACAAATAGTGTTTCTTTCACTTCCAGGACTCTTTCATATGTTTTCCCCAAGTCTATAGATATGATTATAAAGAATAGTAATTAAGCAAAGCTGCTAAAGAAATTATGGGGACCCAGGTTTATTAGTTATTGCAAGTCTACACTCCATTTTATCCAAGTCAAGTCATTGGATAATAGATTCTCTACTGCCTAAACCTAAGTAAACCTTTACAAATATCTATGCTTAACCAATAGTCTGCCTTCTTTTTAAGGACAAACCAGTGAAGCCACCTACAAAGAAATCAGAGGAATCAAAGGTAAAGACCATAGGAATATATTTCCATTAAATTTTGTTTTATTCTAGCCATAGGGTTATTTGGCATTTTAGAAAACTAAAACATTGAATGCCTACTCTGTGCCTGGTACTTCGCCAGAGCATGCATATAAATGTGTGTGACCATTGTTTATCTCTCATTTAGTCTTCACAAAAGCCCTTTAGGATAGAAAACTGAGGCTCAGAGAATACTAAGCAACATTTATTAAAAAGTAGAGGGAAAAAAAGCCATCAAGATTTTCTTGTTTTTCTATCTCCTTTACATTATTATTAGTATAGAATGTCAGTAAGTTTTTTTCTTATAGAAACATCTTTTATTTGTAAGTGAGGTGGGAAAATACCCCATATTGCATTTTGCCTTCTGCTTCTTCACTGATGGTTATTTCTACTCATATCTCAGAAATCTGCAGATGACCAAGACCCCATTGATGCTCTCTCAGGAGATCTGGACAGCTGTCCCTCCACTACAGAAACCTCACAGAACACAGCAAAGGTACTGTGCTTTTTCACATAGACTTTCTTTGAAATGTGTGTGTGTTTATGTGTACATACACACAAGTTTTATTGATTGATCTATCTATCTGTCTATCTATCTTGTAACAGGGTCTCACTCTGTAGCCCAGGCTGGAGTGCAGTGGTGTGATCTCAGTTCACTGCAATCTCTGCTTCCAATCAAGCAATCCTCCTACCTTAGCTTCCTGAGTAGCGGGGACTACAGGAGTGCACCACCACACC